ACATGGTCGCGCGGCCCGCGGCCCGCGCGGTTGGGGCCGCCGCTAGCCGCACTCGTCGACGCTGCCCCGCTCTTGTACTCGCAACCCCTGCACCATCGGCTCGCCAACGTTAACGTTAAAAGCGGTTGCGTGGCACACTATGTTGGGCTCCTTCCTGCCGCCCGCGCGGTCCGGGAGCGGCGACGCGAAGAAGGTCGACGTCGTTTTGCCCCGGTCGCGGGGGGGCATGCCGAGCCCGGAGAAGGAGAACGCGCCGCCCGAGGCCAAGGACGCCGGCCTGGCGCCGACGCTCGACATGCACCTCAAGGTGAGCGAGCCCGACGACCTCGACGAGTCGGAGCTCGCGGCCATGGAGGCCAAGCTCCACCGCCGCGGCGAGGCCAAGGTCGACGCGAACGACGACGACGCGCTGGCCGACGAGCTCGCGGCCTTGGAGGCGCAGGTGAAGTCGCGCGCGGCGTCGGCCGCGGCGCCGGCCGAGGGCAAGGAGACGAGCCTCGAGGCGGACCTCGCGCTGGAGGAGTCGAAGCTCGAGGCGCGGCAGCAGGAGGTCTTGCGCCGGGCCGTCGCCGACGCCGGCGGCGCCGCGCCGTGCCGCTGGCTCGGCGGGTCCTTCGTGAGCTACGGCGCCGCGCCGGCGCCGGAGCGCGCGCCGGCGCCGGAGGACGACGACGACGACGACGACGACGACGACGAGCCGCCGGAGTCGTCGCGGAGCTCGGAGGCGTCGGAGGAGGTCGGCCCGGAGGCGCGGCGCCAAGCGATCCGCGAATTGGCCAAGCACCTCCAGTCCCTCGCGTCGACCGTGGAGCAGGAGCACGCGAAGCGCGCCCGCGCGCCCAAGGTGCGCGCGCCGGCGATGATGCTCAAGCTCGAGGACGAGGTCGAGACGCTCAAGAAGTCGCGGGAGCGGTCCGGCGACGCGCTGAGCCTCCTGCGGCAGGGCGGCGGCCTCGGCGACCCGCGCGGCGCGGGCGCGGCCCACGGCGCCATCCTCGAGGCGGCGATCATGATCGCCCAGTCCGACGTCGCCGTCATCGAGGAGGCGGACGTCGTCCGCGCGCTGCGGCGCGACGTCGACAAGCACGTCCGGGCGCTGAAAAAGGCGCTCCGCCGGGCCGACGGCACGCACGACCGGCGCGGCGCCCGCGACGCGCGCGACGCCTACGTGCCGCCGGAGGAGCCGAAGCGCGGCGGCGGCTTCTCCGAGATCCGCAAGCCCCGGCCGCGGCCGCGGCCCGTGTACCGCGGGCCGGGCCACAACGAGCGCGACCGCCAGTACGAGGACGTCGTCGTCGTCCGCCGCCAGGACGGCCTCGCCGTGAAGCGGCCCCACTACCTCAAGCCGGCGGCCGCGCCCAAGAAGGCGCCGGGCCGCGTCTGCCGCGGCGCGCCCCAGGTCTCCCGCCACTGCCACGGCTACGTCCCCAACGACGACGACCTCGCGTCCCTCGCGCTCTGAAGGTGTGTTTAAGTGTCATTCTCGCTCTGAAGCTTGATTTAAGTGTCCTCTCGTTGCGCCGCGCGCAGCCACGGGTCCTCGAGGAGGTCGGCCATGGTCGCGCGCGCCGCCGCGTCGCGCGCGAGGAGCGCCGCGAGGACCCGTCTCTCCTCGGCGCCGAGCGCCGCGTCCGACAGGTCGACGACGCCCGCCCGGATCGCGTCGAAGAGGCCCTCGACGGAGTCCGCGACGTCGAAGGGGTTCCGCCGCGTCCGGAAGTTGTAGTAGCAGCAGCCCAGGGCCCACGCGTCGCACGCGAACGCGTTGAAGTGGACCTTCTCGCCCGCCGCCGCCGTCGCGACCATCTCCGGCGCCCAGTAGGCGTAGGTGCCCTCCG